AAGTTAATCTTATATTACCCTAGAAACTTGCTAAATTGTAAAACAAAATTAGACATAATACATTTTTGTCCCATAGCACACTTTGTACCACAGCTATCTTCATACAATGAACCATGTAACCATGTACTTTTATTTTTGTACAGTGTATGCTGGTGAGAAGTTTTTGTATCAGCCAATGGCGTGCAAGCACCTATGTTTGCATGTGTGAATTATGCATGCATGGGTTGTAAAACTTCTAGCGCTGACCATGACCTACGTCAAGTTTGCATTCGCATATGTATGCATGTGTGTGAAAATCAGTATGCAAATATTTACATAATTTCTTCAAATTAATTTTAAATATAATTATTAATAATAAAAAATAATAAAATAATATACATTAAAAAAGAAGTTTCTGCTTTTGGATGCTATTAGCGAAGTAATAATAATAATATACATATTAAATAAATTTTATAAATATTATCATCGGCTTAAGAGGTACTGCTTTTAAACCAAGCCAAACTTAGTACAGAACATACATACATGCACACACGCACACACACACACGCACACACACACACACGCACACGTTACTTATCTCAATGTTTACATTCACTTTGGTCATAGAAAGTCAGAGTCACCTTCGAATCACTTTGATTTGAACTTCATATGTTTATAAACTAAAATCGCATATATACATATGTATATCAATATGTCTCTAATGCATGTATATGGAGTACGGTTGTATTTAATAAAAACACTGAGCCCCTGAAGTTCAAATAAAAGTTAAAGTCGAAGGTGAGTCTGACTTTTGGTAAGCATAAGTACATATGTACATACATTTACGTATGTACATATAGAAATAAAATGAATGTCATAAATGTTTTCTGTTTAAAATAATAAAATACAACAAACTTAACCTTTTAAATATGTACATATGCACGTACACTTATAGCCACATTAACATAGATTAACAAATTGATATTTAAAAACGACATTAAAATGATAAATACTTATAGGCTTTAAACAGTACGTAATTCATAAATGTATGCGTGATAATTATTTAACAAATTTACCATCAAAATCGCCGGTATCAGCAACAATGGTTGTTAAATTTTTAAGCTGTTCCAAAGCCGACATTTTCCTCTTTTTTATCACACGATCACTTCCCATTGCCCAACCAACTGAATGAAGTGTCTGTGGCTAAAAATATCGATGGTAATCTTCCTTTCATCGATTCTTACCCTAAAGTAATCGATGATTTTTCATTTGCTATGTTCCAATTCCGCTTCCAAGGTACATTTGGTCCACTTTGACTATCGAAAGTTGACAATATGAAAACATAATAATAGACTTCTGATAGGATTATAACTTAAGTTTAAGCTTTGTCCATTTGACAAGGCATGGCTTTTAAATTTAGCCTACCTGTCCTGTTATAGCCGATATAAACTGCTGATACTTGGCAAAACTAATAAAACATATAATGAAAAAAAAAAATTCCATCGTTCCAATTAAATTTATTTTAATAATTAAAATAAAACAAACATATTTGTTATTCTTTTTTTCTGTTTTCCTTTGGTTTTCTTGAATAAAAAACCACTTAATTCAAATTGGACCAATTCCATCGTTCCAACTAATCGAAATTGCTGAAATAAAATAAACCATTTTTTTATCTGTTTCTCCTCTGTTATCCAAGTCCGAGGCTCTTTAGGGCTGACTTTTCGTTCCATCAACACAGCACAGAATATGAAAATTTCTTTCCCTCCGTTAAAAAACTTTTCGTCATCAACCGTTAAAGACCAATTGCCCCGTCCAATGCTGCTTGACAGCACTCTAGGGAACTCCCGCATAAATTCTGTGATTTGGGATAACCTTCTAGTTTACATGTGTGCCTCTAAGCTACCCAAGCTTACGCGTTCGCTGTGGGAACAGTGGTTGCCCAACAAGATTGACATCTCGTCGGCACGCAATCCGACATATGCGGCTCGCCATGGATACCATCTTCGGTGGGATCCTGACTTTCCCTGTAGTTAAGTCGAATGCCGAGAAAATTTCGTCCTTTTCACAAGGATTTCGGTTAGCCCCGAACCACTTTTAGATGATCGTCTCACTAGGTTTCGGGAATCAAGAATCTTTCTTTTACTCCGAGCCGATTTCTTGAAGATTGCAGAATCTAGCCTTGCGAAGACTCTTTGTATATGCTGGAAAGCAGATCGCCAGGCTGTTCGATTCAGCGGGATGGTTAGCTCCATTCGTGGTCCATGCCAAAATATTCATGCAAGCCAAAATTTTCTGGCTTCATGATCTGGGCTGGGACCAATCCTTGCCAAGCCAAAACCACCAGAGGTCCGATTTTTGCCACTGCTGGACGACGGGAATTTATTCCTGAGCATCGATTTGGCTATAGGAACCAAACTTTTCAAGTTGCGTTGAATCAATCAGCTCGATAATTAAAGAAATAAATCTTTTTTCTAACGACGTATCCCTAACTGAAGCTTATGCTATATAACTTCGAATATGTTTCTCTATCTTCTACAATCAAGAAATATCAATAAGCAATACATACATACCTTGAAACATATTCGTTTAAGGAATATTAGTTTCCAAAACATCTTTTCTAAACTTACAGCTCTTTGGGGAAAAATAAAATAAATAACTGGTAGTTTACACAAAACCTGCTGATTCAGGCATTACCAATCTGTTCGCAAACTCAGCTACTCCTCTAGGTATAATTAATATCAGCCTTATCCTCATCAGCGTAGATCTACAACGACTAACCTTCTTGAGTTATATAATGGGTTTAAGAAGGTAAGGCTAAAGGCTAAAGGCTAAGAAGTTATGCCTTCTCAGCTTTCCAGTCAATCTTTTGAACTACATCTCTGAGTATTTGCGTAACAGACCCAAAAAGTAACCAACCTGTTTAATATATTGCTTTCTATAGAAGGCTTCCTCAAAAAGTTTCTTACACCCTTGATCGAGCGTGTCAACAGTATCAGCAATGAAGTTAATGATCTTAAATTTAACTTCGACTGTCTGATAATACAACCGTGGTGAATAATTAATTTTTTGTGTTTCATCAAGCGATAGTCAAAGGAGTTTGACGATCCTTAGACGACACATATTCTTTAATATCGCTGGAACGACTTTAACGTTATAATAAATCTTTATCGCTTCAACTTTGTTCAACTAACTTTGCATGAAGCGTTCCGCTGTGACGATTATAGCAAGCATTATCGAGTATTCAGCTCGAAGTCTTCTCAGCCTCGTATAGTCATCTATTCCAAGCAATTAGATAGTAACAAGAATTAAAGCTTTCTGGTACTTATGTATTAATAGAAGCTTTTGTAAATAATTGAAGAAAGGCTTTAATTACTCTCTAAATCAAATAAGTTTTATTCATTTTGGATACAATTCTCTGAGCAAAGAATACAAGATTGATAAAGGTTTACAATTTCGTCATCCTTGAGGATCTTCTGCATGTTTGTTCCACTGCCCAAGACCTTTAGAACTTAGAAACGACGACATCAGGAACTACATACATATAAATAATATTGGCGATAATTACCAAAAATGTGTGTACTAAAATAGGGGAAACCAATATGCTTGCAAACTAAAATTGGAATGAAAGGGTTGGCAGGACATCAGGAACAACGGTTTAGCGAAGTAAGTACTATGCTGCTTCGTTTAAAAAGTAGACCAGTTCGGATTTCGGTGTTTATATTTCGTAATAATTGATATCTTACATGCTGAATTTTAAATATGAATTCATTAAGTAGACCATAATGTACAGCAAAAGATCTTTCGAATTCACTTATAACTTGGCACACTAGTATATCAACATTTAACAACTTCACATATTCTCTATAGCAGGGATGGACTTAATTTATGTAAAATTAATGGGGTGTCATCCAATTAATGAAATCGGGGATTTACTGTATAAAAAAAAAATTATTTATAAAAAGGTTTCATTGGAATATTGTAGTCAATAATGCGAACGTTCATTTAATCGTCAACAGCAGCAAATGCAATTGCGAGCGAGCATTCAAAAGCGTACTATGAGATGAGCTAACGCCACCACTGTACAATTTAATGGGTTTTCAGGCGCAGTTTTTAGTTTAGCATACGGTAATGCTAATGTTGTTTGTAATTTGTTTATTTCACAGTGTCTTTAATTTATAACGATGTACATCATGTAAATTTTAAGTGAAATTTCTAAAAAGTTTTTTTTTTTTTAAACAGAAACTAAAAAATTATTTATTTTTTCTTTATAACCTAAGCTTGACACAAATTGAATTGTTCTTTCTTGTATACATTACATGTATGTAGTAAAAATAAATACCACGGACAAAATCCTGGATCCCAATTACCTTATTTTACTTTCAGCAAGTCCTCAAAATGATAAAAAATAATGGAGTTGATTGGAACGGATACGTGAACTGAAAAACTAACATTCCAATGTTCTATACACTCAATCAATTTTTTTTTTGCCAAAATTGATTTGTCTTGCCGATCGCCATAAGTCAAAATATTGATTTTATGCTGCTTCAAGATTAAGTCTTATATTCTATGGAATGAATGAACTAACTTTTTTTTTAACTTTAAGGCCAAAGTCTGACTGAATTAAGACTACTTAATACATAAATTCAATACAAAATATCTATCTGCAATTCCACATTCACGAAAATAGGCTTGTAAGCCAATTGTTGGCGAATAAATAAAATATGAATTGCATAAATAGGGATTCAGGATTTATCTATTAAATCATTTCGTGGTTTTATTTAGTGTAATGACATCTCATTGAAGAAATATTTACATAAAGCTACGCACTCAGAGTTCATAGAAAAAATAGGTTTTTGATCAGTTGACGAAAAAATATTTAAAATTTTTTGTACATAAAATATACGAACAAATCTACGATTGGTTAATTTTTCTTTCAATAAACTAAACTTCAAAAAATTAACTATGTTAAAATCAGAAATGATCTTTGATTTGAATGTTCTCAAAAACTATAAGAAAAAATCTTCTGAAACTTCACGTATGTATTTCCAATTTTCCAAACTACAATCATCTATTTAATTGCATGTACAAAATCAATGCCTTATGTAAAACGCATTCAAACAGAATTATTAGGTGTACGTTTCGATAAATCGTTTGATCATAATCTATTGACGATTTCACGGTGTTTGTGTAAATTAGCGAGTAAATCTCTATCAAAATATCACGCGTGATTTTTTGTTTTTTTTTTTTAGTAATATTCGGAAATAAGTCTATGTGTTGTTTGGTTAAAATCATTACTATAGGTATTTCTTTCTGTTTATATTTAGTAACACTTTATGCTAGTTATTAGAATAATGATGTTGGGCTTAATGATTATAATATTCTTAAAGCATCATAGCGTACAGCAGGCCAAAGAAGACAGCCCACATTAACACAATCCCATGCATCTTATATATAGGACTCTCACCATCTGCAATTTTTCTAGCAACAAACTTCAACGTTTCATCTAATAAAACTACAGGAATTGAAAATTTCATCACAGTTATCCATTCCTCTGCAGACAACGGTGTCACTTGGAAGACGGCCTAAAAATATACAGGATTTAGGTGCCGTATACTTAGTGTCTAGAATAATTACTTACAGAGAGGACATCAACATATAGAATGACAAAGTGAAGCGTGAAAGATAGAGCCATTGAACCAAGCAACCACAAATTACACCATGGAGGCATTGTTATTAAGGACTGGTTCTCTGATAAGCTGTATAAAGAATATATATTACTCGTATATTATTTGTTTCGCGAAATTAATCGAAAAAAACTAACCTGTTCATTGCATTTAACATTTCAATGGTTACAAGCACAGATAGAGCCATGGTCATCGCATGTGGATCGCTGAAGATTTTACAATCTACACCTTTGAATTCCTCTCCACCGCCCAAACAGGCAAGATGATGAGTGAGCTGCCAGTATGATAGGTTTGGACCTTCCGAAGAAAACACAAACCACCAAGTGGCTGCACCAACCGTTGCTGCACCGACATAGAAACCAATGGCCATATAACTAAATTCGAAACAAAATAAATTTAAGATGCGAATAAAAAACATGTTACAGCCTGTATAAACGAAGCGTCAGCTGTTCAGCAGGATAAATACAATTGCCGCATAAATAATACTCAGCAATGAGCTAAGGCTCAATTTGCCCATATCAAGATGTTTTCAACGCGCAGCTGTTGCTTTGTTTAACCAGACTATTAATTAATTTCCAACCGGAAGAACAGCCATCCTGAAATTAAGCCTTCGTCAGCCTTCCTTGGTGGTTTCTCCATAATATCCAAGTCAGGTGGGTTGAAGCCAAGAGCTGTAGCTGGTAGGCCGTCTGTTACCTACATAAAAAGAATCAAATTTATTTATCAATAAGTAGGGATTTTTTTTAAACATACCAGGTTAACCCACAAGAGTTGAACTGGAATCAATGCTTCGGGCAAACCAAGAGCAGCTGTCAAGAAAATGGAAACGACTTCGCCGATATTGGATGAAATAAGATAACGAATGAACTGCTTCATGTTGTTATAAATGGCACGACCTTCTTCAACAGCAGAAACGATGGAAGAGAAATTGTCATCGGCCAAAACCATTTCTGCGGCAGATTTAGCTACAGCTGTACCGGAGCCCATGGCAATACCAATTTCGGCTTTCTTAAGAGCTGGAGCGTCGTTGACACCATCACCAGTCATTGCAGATATTTCGTTCATGCCCTGCAAGAATTCAACAATCTTGGATTTGTGCTGTGGTTCCACGCGCGAGAATAGGCGAGACCGTGCAACTGCGGCCTTTTGCTCAGCAGGAGATAGATCGTCAAATTCGCGACCCGAGTACGATTTTCCAGTGGTGTCTTCATCCTCAGAAAATACACCAATACGACGGCAAATAGCTTCAGCAGTAGCCTTGTTATCACCAGTGATAACAATAACACGAATACCGGCTGCGCGACAACGAACAATGGCATCAAAAACTTCTTTGCGCGGGGGATCCAGCATGCCAACGACTCCGACAAAGGTCAGATTAACTTCATACTGATAGAACTTGGTAGAGTCACCCAAGTCCATTTCTTCGGGACGAATTGGACTGTCAGCAACCGCAAGGGCTAAGCAACGTAGGGTATCACGTCCGGTACCATACTGGCCTGTAAGATTTAAGATCTTGGTCTTGAGCGCAGACGTCAGTGGCACTTTGCTCGTGCCAACACGAGCATGTGAGCAGCGATCCAACACACCCTCTGGAGCTCCCTTGACGAAGAGTTTTGGACCAGTACCCAAGCGAGATGCCTTAAGTGGTGTACAATAAGAAGACATGGATTTACGATCGCGAGAGAATTCAAGCGTGAACTCTTTCTTCCATTTCGTTTCAATTTCACCACGACAAGCAATAGCAGCTGATCTGCGATCCAATCCAGATTTGTTAACATTAAAAGAGTTCAGTTTTTCTGCCAAAACAATCAATGCGGTCTCCGTTGCCTCACCGACCTTTTCAAATGCCTGTTTGAATTCATTGTAATCAATTGCCGAGTCATTGCACATAATACAGATTGTAGACAATTCCTGTAAAGCGTCGTAATCGCTGGCTTTAACTCTCTGGCCACCCAAGAACAACTCGCCAATGGGTTCATATGTCGAGCCAGTCAGTTCAAACTCAAGGAAACTGCTATCGTTACCTTCCACTTTTTCAAAAATGAACATTCGGGAAACAGACATTTGATTTGTAGTGAGTGTTCCAGTCTTATCAGAGCAAATTACAGATGTGCAACCCAAAGTTTCAACAGATGGCAGAGATCGCACAATTGCATTCTTTTTGGCCATGCGACGTGTTCCTAACGCTAAGCAAGTGGTAATAACAGCAGGAAGGCCCTCGGGAATAGCAGCGACAGCTAATGCTACAGCGATTTTGAAGTAATAGATAGCTCCTTTGATCCAAGATCCTCCATGTGCCGGATCGTTAAAGTGACCAATGTTAATGGCCCAGACAGCCACGCAAATAATAGAGATGACTTTTGATAGTTGTTCACCAAATTCGTCCAATTTCTGTTGCAATGGTGTTTTAATCTCTTCAGTTTCTGACATTTCAGTTCGGATTTTGCCAATAGCAGTGCTGAGGCCAGTTCCAATAACGACACCACGGGCTTTGCCAGCGGCAACATTTGTACCAGAGAACAATATATTCTTCTTGTCCTGATTGACTGCCCGGGGGTCCGGAATTGCGTCGGTGTGTTTGATTACCGATATCGACTCACCGGTTAGGATAGACTGATCAATTCTTAATGTTGTTGAATAGATGTGAGTAATACGAATGTCGGCCGGAATCTTATCACCAACTGACACCTCGACCAAATCTCCAGGAACAATTTCTTTCGCTCTTACTTTTTGAATACCAGACTTGTCTTGTCGAATTACTTTACCCATTTCGGGCTCGTATTCTTTTAGTGCTTCAATTGCTGATTCGGCATTTCTCTCCTGCCAAACACCAACCACAGCATTTGCTATTAGAATAAGTAAAATTACTAAAGGTTCTACAAATGCAGTGAACGTCTCTTCGTGTTCTTCAAACAGCGCTAATACCTTTAATGAAAAAGAGCATAGTTAATGTAATAAAAAAAAATTCAGGGAGCTCTAGCTCGCAAATGCTCGACTAGCAGTTAGCCTTCATCTCACGCCAATTCCCTGAGAAAAGTGGCAGGAAAAAATATTGTTACGCAAAAAGACTTACAAATGATATTATGGCTGCCAATAGCAAAATCTTAACCAGAAGATCGTCAAACTGCTCTAAAACTAATTGCCAAATACTCTTGCCTATAAATAAAAGGAATATATCAGATTTTACAAACACATGAACACAACAGCTAAAGCACTTGAAGTGCTTGCAAAAACATTGATCGCGCACCTTCCTCTGTTGGCAATTCTGTAAGTAAACAGAAAGAAAAGATTGACTTATAGTGTTATTTATATAAGCAATAATACAATATTATAATAAGTGAAAGGATAAAAAAGGCTTGATTGCCTTACAGAGTATTTCAACCATTATTTTGTCAAAAGCCATGAAATTGACATCAATTTATACCTTCATGCAAAGCTTTTAAACTAACAAAAGTAATTTATTCAGAGTGTCTAAATGGATATGCCTTACACCAAGCATTTACATTTTTGTTTTAAACACAGTTTATGTTAAAACTGGAAACAAATAATCTACATCTACTATTCAACAAAAAAAATTACTTACCATTGGGTCCATATTTTTTCTGGTTGTTCTTGATCTGATCAGTGGTTAAACCGCGCTCAGGGTCTGTGCCAAAGAAATTCAGGGATTGTTCGACGGTTTTCGCGTGGCCGTCTTCCATATTGAACGATTATCCTTCGCGTTCAACAATCTACAAAACAAATGATGATAACTTCTTGATATTAAGACATTTCTCATGACAATCACTACAAATTATTTAAATTTACTATGAGAAGACTAAAGTTATATAGCTATCAACCTAACTTTTTAGGTGACCCAGGCTTATTATGGCCCTCTTGCCGAGAGTTAAAACTTAATTATAATTTAAAAAAAAATTAAAACAAGTGTGCCCCCGTCACAAGCGCCAGCTGGGAGTTACGCTAAACGACACAGCGCAAATCTACTACTTCAAAAATTTCAACTTTCTTTAATGCTCTGATTGGTCTCTCTGGCTCGTATTGTCTCCGAATAAAGCTATAAGGTAAATGGTAGCATTAAAAATTGACCCCTTTCTCGTGATTTCGATGCGTTTCAACAGACATAAATCAACTGAGCTCGTTGCCCTGATCAAGAATATGAATTCTTCAAGGATGTTAGCTTCTACCTGTTACATACAATTTGCGAATAACCAATTCTTCTGACTTTCGCCCACAAAGTGAATATTAAATTATGAGTTGTTGCTAGAGATGGTAGAAAACGTATAAGCAATATTTGTTGCCCTAGATAAGGGCTGGTCGGGAACCGCACTTTTACACCACGAACTCGCACGGAAAATATTTACCAAGATACGTCCTAATCCTCATCCAACACGATCAAGTCACTTTTTTGTTTTTCAAGAACATTTACATGTTTTAAGATAACATTTTATTTGACATTTTGTACAAATTTTCGAACTAGAAGAAATCTTGCTTGATGTGGAAAAAATCCTAAGCCCTAGTCGCAGATCTAGCTGAAATGCCAAGCATTAACTTGGCCAAAGTCTGTCACATCTCAAATTAAAGAGTACGAATATCTCTCTCTAATTTCATTTTATTTGACTAATGCGTACTTTGGTGAGGTTTTCACGGACCCGCAAAAGGCACCCACTTTTAAGATTATTTCAACTGTACTATATGTGTAGAGCTAATATAGCTAATATTTCGTATTAGCGCCATCTATTGTCGATGATATTAGTGCATAATTGCATGCATACAACTTCTGACGTACTAGCTTGATGCAAATATTTATTTCTCCCCCTCTTTATGGGTGGCAAAACACATTACTATAATAAATTTATTTGCGACCTTGGTCATGAACCATATTTAGGATTATACCAAATTGGTTTTGAATAATACCACAGCCATAATGCGAGTCGCACACAACATGTACTTGATTGTGTACTCTGTGTTCTCTATGTATTTACATATCGACATACATGTTAGAACGGGACACGTGGGGCTAGGTGTGACTCCACGTACATAATACACACACATATTCACACATACACAAAATACAAGTAATACTTATGCATTTTATTACCACTGAATTTTTCTTATTTGTAGTGTCGACTTATGAGATTCACACACGTGTCACTTTTGGCCAACTAGTACAATTTTTGCAATCGTGAAATAGACATTTATTTACAATCATTCAAGACCAACGAACTTGACGTTTTAAGTACTTAATTTTTCTGCAGCCAATATTTCTATATTAAATTGTCATTGCGCCTTTATTTTTGTTCTAAAAATATATGTGAACTGTTACAAGAATGCAGTTTTAGGCCGTGCATTAATAAATATTCCGGCGTTTAGTGACTATGACATGACAATTTCACACACAGGGTTGCTAGTTGATTTTCTTAAAATATCGATAAGAAAAATGGGTCGTTTCCAATACGCACGTAGAGACAAGCGATTGTGCGATTTTTAATATTTGTTTTTAAGAAATACTTATAAGCTTCACGATTTTTGGGTATAACTTTACTGTGTTCAGTTAAAAAATGATTTTTTAAGCATGTTTTCTCAACTTCTAGATAAATTGATTTCAAACTATCGGGCTTCACGCTGAACTGATTAGCTCCTTAAACTGAGAGAGTGAACGACGAAAAGTGTGATATGGACGCAACTAATCAATGTGCACTTTATTGTAAATTCACTAAGAAATCGTTTAACAACTGCGCGGGCACAAGAACGATCTACGTTCAAAATTTGTCTCTAGCTCCAATAGGTTTGAGGATCCTTGCGTTTAAACAGACGGACGAACGGATATAGGGACAGACGGTCAAGAACATATACTTTATGGGGTCGGAGATGCTTCGTTCTGCCTGTTACATGCAATTGCACAAATACATTATACCGCTTTTACCCATTTTTTCGATTTTAATTGTTTGCTTGGAAACAGGACAAGTTTTTAATTATCGCCTACTGCCAACTCGGTTATTGAAGTGGCTCAACAATGTATACGCTTCATATATATCAGCTTTACATTGAGATTCGTTTGAAAGAAGGCCACACTTAAATAGCACCATACACTTATAGGGCAATATATAACACAATACCAATTGCAATTTTATTTTTAAAATTTATAAAAAAACGCAGGTATACGTAATAAGGTGGCCCATAAATACAGAAATGCTTGCGCTTTGCGTTAGCTGCCACGACCGCAATCGATTTCTTTAAAAACTTCTGTATTTCTTATCCGATCTTAATGAAATGTTTTTGAATAGATCTTAAAAAAAATACCATTAAATAGTTTTCTGGTTCCAATTGTACTTATTATTCATCAGATTAGCAAGGGGGCTATGCGGTAGCATATACTATACAAAATTCTATTCTTCACAATACTATGCTACTTACTATACTCGAATGGGTATCAACACATGTCAAATTTTGTGATTAGTTCTTTAAAAAAAATATGTAAAAGAACTAAGATGTTGCTATCGATTAAAAGCTGTTTAAAATTATGTAAAGTTATCGATAGTCGGAAGAAGCTTGTACCGCTAGGAGGACCTGCTTTCCAAAATTTCAATTCTTTGGCATTTATAGGTTTTAAGATTGACGCGTAGGACACATACGTTTAGATAGATATGGCTAGATCGACTCGACTATTGATGCCAATATGAAATATATATCATTTATGAGGTCGGCAATGCCTTCTTCTGCTTGTTACATACATTTGTACAAGGCCATTTTACGCAGTGTTTTTGCTGTTTCCAATTGGTATAAATATTGAAAAATAATGATACCCCGACTGAAGCGTATGTAAATTACATTCTATATTACCAGTATTAATACTCTATAATATATGAAGAGCGATGAAAAATGTTAGCTGAATACTTAGCAGAATACACGCAGATCAAAAGCAGTTTGCTCGCCTAGGTATGTATGTATGTACATATGCATAAATATTTAATCAGCTAACAATGTATATACATATGTAGATATTACATATACATAGATAAAACATATATATATTAGCATTCATTACCGAATGCAAAACAAACAAACCAATGTAAAGAGGAGCCCCTTATATATGCATACATATAAATTCATGTCTGTTAGTAACATATTACGATATTTTACACGTGCATACATATGTATATGTATGTACGTATTTATGTATGCTTATACATATATATATTTTTATGCAAGTGTGCTTATGTGTATTTGCAGAGAATACATATTTATTATTATTGGTTTGTGTGTGTGCACATCTATTTGTATACACGAGAAAATACGCGTGTATGATTATTTGCAAATATTTCTATGTACATATATAAAAATTACCTACACACACATATAGAGGCATATAATTTGGGTATTCAAGATATTACCTAAAAATAGACACTTAGCTACTGACGTTCAACACACACGCTTATGCACATACACACGTATGTATGTAGTTGATAGTTCGCTAATAAAAATATACTTATACTATATATATAACCTCTATAATATATATATATATATGTATACATATGTATAAATATATATGTGTATGTACATATACATGTTTATATGTGTACATATAATTTTAATCACATATGTACATACGTACAGATGTAATACAAGACCAATAAATAGGGTCATTGATGTAAGTAAAGTGTACAAAATATTGTGGACCTTATTATTTCATAGATATGGTTTTAAGAAATTGTATTTGAATTTGTTGTCTTTCTCGTGTCATTAAGCAATGGGTTGCATAATCAAGTTTTCACCGCATACATGCATATGTATGTGTGTATGTATTATAATTACATACATAGATAAATACATACATACGTACATATAGTCTTTTACATTTAGGTATGTAGGTGTACCTTGAAATGTTGTGTTATACATATGTACGTACAAGCATACAGGTATGTACACACAGGTATATTCAAATGAACATTTTGTTGAAATTCTTATGTATGTACATATGTATGGTTGGTCAAAATATGCAGTATGTATGTCCATATACATATTAAATACGTAAGGTCTTTATAAATGATCATAATTAATAATTCGATGACTAGATATTTTCAGAAGATAATCCAATTTAAAATCACATTTGCATGTCTTTGAACATGTCAAGCTAAATACCTTCTTTTATGTATCTAGATACATATGTGTATATATGCATACATATGTATATTTCGAAATTTTCTATTCATGAACATGAACAAAATTATGTACATACATATTGTTATGTATGCAAATACGTATGGCTGCCCGTATTTGAATATTTAGGTATGTGTGTGTGTGTGTGTTACATATATGTAAATATGTTTGTGCACTTGTGTTGAGTGTAGATCAGGGAAACGTAATTTTCAATACTTTACTGGTTCAATTGTAACTTTGGAATATTGTAGGATACACTTTAAATCACCAACTTCATTATTTTATGTACATAGGTGTATATATACATATATATACGTACATATATATACATATATGCATATACATATATATGTATATGTGTGTGTATGTATATATAGTATTTATATGTACATGCAAGTGCGCGGGTTTTTAAATTTTAAAAATGTTTTCATACTTGTATTAACATATGAACACATAAATTTATATATATATGTATAAACGCTGTATATATAACTTGTAAAGTTGTATATATACATATAGATTTTGGCACTTTCGTGAACGTACTTATTAGAATTGTTGTAATAAATCAACAAAACTTACAAATTTTTATCTAAACAAAATTCTTGTATTATATAATATTTTTAGTCAAAAGACCAAGAGCTAACACAAAGATCGCGCTATTATAACGATCAACGGCAACTGAACGCAAGGAGAACGTTGCTTGATGAGAGTGTCTATTTGAATTACAAAATTCATATATTTTGGCAAAATTCCCAAAACTAGATACGCTCTCTATTTTGGCCTGGGAAAATACTTTTAGCACGCATAAACTTTTAAGCACTAACCGTATATTCGGTTTTTCTGTTGTTGTGTTCGTGTGCACATATGTTTATGTATGTATTTACATGTGTATATGTGTACACATTGATAAAATAAATGAGTTTGAGTGGCTGTGTATGTTTGTGCATACACATACATACATATAAAAATATATATATATATGTATATATAAATATATATATATAAACTTATATACAGAATATGTACATATATATGAATTATTTCTATATGTTCATGACTTATTTGAAATATTTTTATTATTTATATAAATTATTAATTACTAGGAAATTATTATAAATTATCTAATCAATCTTCTAGTTGACACGTGTACATATTGTTTTAACACGACATACGGAAACTCACTCGACTATTGCAGATTAAGAATATATTTAATTTATTCTTCTTCTTCTAATATATCAGATCTGGGCCTATCCTCACGATATAAGCGTGAGGTAAACTAGAGACAAAAACACAATATCACAAAGCTATTCAGCTAAAATTGAATACAGTTAATTTCCGTTTCTAAAATTATTTTTCTAGTAATTTTGCCAAATATATTTAATAAACTGTTTTAATCCTTTAACTATGCTTAGCATAATTTAACAGTTGGCTATAATTTAGGTAAGACCTACAAAAAATTACAATGCCTACAAGCATAAATGGATGAAAGAATGTGAATGTCAGACTTTTTCCACAGTCTCACATGCGAAGGCTATTAGACATAGATATCGAACACCTGGGAAACTTGTCCGCGTTCAAAGTGCACCACAGGATGGTGAGTAGACTGTTTGGGCACAGCATTAAAGAGCTTAGCAGGCTTTAAGTGGTCCGAGTCACAAGTCATAGAGCCATGTACTAATTAACACCAAAAAAGTGAGTCAAATTAACAGTATGACTTACACGAAAAAATCAAATTCTTAAAGCTAACAAGACTAGAGGTTACCCTGTACCCTCTTCTTCCAACATCAAATGCAGCTTGCTTTAGCAGTAAAAAACATAAAATTAAAATAATAAAATAGTTTCCTCGGTAGGGCTCAAACACGCAACATACCCCATTACTTGCCGCCGCCTCTACTCAACTGCCACACCAATAATCTGGTCTTAATGAGAAAAAACGAACTGAAATAGCAGCACAGAAAAGAATACAATCGCCATTGCAATGCTGTTGATAAAATCTAAAAAAGACGCCCATGAATGTTTTTGTGTACCTGTATACAGAAACTCTTGCAATTTGCGCTTGCTGCCCCAAAGCTGGTGTTCAGCTTTAGTTAGGGACAGCGAAATAAAAAGAGTTAATAATGTTCAGG